CCAAATTTTCAGTCTTGTATCTTTTGTGGATCTCGAGATGAAAACTCGTTACAGACGCACACACAGGCACACATACACACACACACACACACACACACACAGACACACACACACACACACAGACAACCCCTCGACAATATGCGTTTTTGCATTGCATAGATGCAAAAAACGCATAAAAACAGTACATAAAATTACAAATCATAATCAAACTTCATATAATCAGCATCAAATTCTTGTATACGAACGTAACCGTCCTCGCCACCAGAAACAACCGAATTACCACTTGGATGGAATGCCAAAGTATTTATAGGGCCGAAATGTCCCTTGAAACGCGCAAACTCCTCTTCAAACACCTGCAAAAATTTTTAGGCAATTTTGAATCCAGCAACCACATTTGTTACAAATATGTCTTCGAAGGAGGCTGCTCGCTACGACAAAAATATTGCTAAAATAAACTGTGAAAACCCACAAAAAGAAAAAAGAGAAAGAACAAACCAAGTGATATAATTTCGCTTCAAAATGTCCGGACGCAGCAGTTGTTTGCGTTACTTTCATCGCCTCTTCACCACCACCCAAAATCACATGATCCCTGATTGGCGAAATTGCCGCTGAATTGACCGGCCGCTCCGCTCTACAAAATTGTGCTCGGTGTGCAAAACCTTACTACGAGTAAATCGTAACAAAACGAATAGCGAGGATGAAGAAGGAACAAAAATAAGCTCAAAAGTTTAGAACAATCCAGCCGATTTGTACGCTGATGATAATAAGCAATAAATCGTAAATGCGCTAGCAAAAACAGTAAAGTCACAGAACAAAATTCCAGAAGGCTACATAGCCTCTACAAAGCAACCCTTAAACTCCGTTCTCATTCTGGTCGTTCTTCTGCTAATTTTCTTTAGATGCTGTAGACAGTGATTTCAGATGCTGCCTTTTTCAATCGCATTTTTAGCAAAACAAATCTGTTCTGGGCTTAGTGAAAGCCGACCTTTCCAATTCGAAATTTTTCAAAAAATCGAAGGCGGACTGGAAAAGGACAACAAGCAGTAAGATCGCTATGGTACAATTCATTTCAAGCAAAGATCATTTAATGAGCTGAGAAAACAGTGTGCAACCAGTTGCTGGGTAACATCGTGCTTTTGTTTTCCTCAGATGTTGTCCAGGCAGATCCAGTATAAAAATTTCCGATGATCTGTAAAATTACTTGTATGTTTTCAGGCAGTCCAGGGTCCTTGCATCGAATAAGCGAGCGGTTTTGTCTTTTGATGCCGTTATCAAAAAGCTTTCATCAGCGCTCATTTGCATATCATTGATTTGAAATTTGTGTGCTTCGTCATTGAAATTCACTACATCATCACTGCCAACTCCTTTTCGTATATCGTACTGATGCAAATTTCCTTTTTCATTACCTGCAACGATCATCACATGTGACGTGGAAAAACTCATCCAGCCACAAAAAAATTTAACAATGGCCAGTTTTACAATAATATTTCAGCATAGAAAACAAATTTTAGCAAAATTGAAACAGAAAAAAGGCTCGCAGGTGACGTATGACTGTTTTTGAAAGTGCAGCAGTCAATTATGAACGCTAAGATGCTTAAGCTACTACCGCATGCACTACAGCTCCAGTGTCCTCTGTTGTCTTTATCCCTTCTCAACTTGTTTCCATATGCCCGAAGAAGCTGATAAAAGTTGTAATGGAAAAGCAATTCCGAACAAAAATCTGCCACCTAAAATGATTTGACAAATCCTCGCTCAAGTCACAGTTGCAAAGATTCAGTCGCGGTGTTGAGCTAAGACATATATGACTTAATGGACTGAAACATCTTAACTCTCTCGTACTTATTTTTCCTACACCAGCTGTATTACATAGTTCGTTCTATTCTTGCCCTGTCTAAGTTCTTCATATTACCTGTATGCAACAGTCAGCTTAGTAAATTCGCGCTTAAATCCAGTGAAACGAATGGCAATGCTAAATGCAACTTTACACATAACTTTATACTGCGATGAATTTGGCGTTGCGCACGTTTACTCGTTACTGACAAATTTTTAAACCTCTATCCACTACGCCTGACTTAATATTTCAGTATGTCGTCGCAACCTGAACCCCCTGCGAAACGGACAAAGGTCGAGAACTACGTAACACACGTTAGTTTTCTACGCATGCTTATGTTATATATCTATTTTCTATTTCCTTAAAACATCCTTCTTCCCTCTTTTCTTTACCCTTCCACCATCTATTCTTCCCTATCTTCATTCTTTCTTTCCTTGCACCTCTCTTACCATGCATCCAAGTTACCTACATTTCCAAATGGTGGTTTGGGGGCTGCACTGATGATTCCCACCCCAATCCACACCATGCACTGTCTGTGTTTGCAGCTTAGGGATGAAACACAGACAGCTAGTTTCACATTTAGCTCTCATACAAGCCCTCGTTACATCTTTTTAATTCTGTATGTTACACATATGCGTTTTACAATCTACTTCTTTCCTCTTTTCACCTTCTCATTACAATTCATTTATTCCATTCATCCATTCAATTTTTTGACGTCTCTACTGGAAAGCATTATGATAATACGTGAAAGTTGTAACTTGTGAAAAAAGGAATGAGTGTCTCTTACCAATGCACAGCGTATCGTCTAGGTGTGTCCAGACACAAGAAAATGCCTGTGTCTGAAGTGACTTCCTAAATAACGGCTGCTCTCCTTTCAGCTGCTGAGCATCTCGTATATCGTAGACGCACAGTGAAGCCTGAAATTATCGTATTATTGAAGCACTGATTAAAATGGCTTTTTCTGTAGACTCTAGCTTAAATTTCTATGAAAAAAGCAAAAAAAGAAATGAACTAACCATATTTTGTGTCATTTTAATTGTAGTAAAAGCGACGAGATTCGCACTGTAGGAGAGGCTGATCGATCGCGCCGAGGTTGGCGTTGCTATTGAAGTGATCGCAACGCCTGTCTCCGAATCCCATAGCTAAACAGGCATATTTTGGAAATGAACACTGTTCGACAAATAATTACAGCAAACCTTTCCGAAACTGAATACTGCCCCGCCAGTACCCGGAACACTGCTGACTGCTGGTGTAACAAATACCAAGGATGAGACGCAAAGCGCTTTAAGGCATACCCGAAATCTTAAATATATAAAGTGACCCTCTGCTTCAACTGTATGAAAAAAGGCAAATTTTCGTAGTTTTTCGTAAACCGGAGATTCCTCATCAAAAATTTGAAAGTTTTAGAAAAAAACTGTGGAAATTTCGGAAAATATCGAGTGAAAACACTAAATCTTATGAAAAGCACCATCAGCTGCTTAATTATCCATGTGTCTCTCCTTCTGGTACCATAACGTCGCACTGCTGAGAACACAAAACTATGGACAATTCAGGACGCGTTCAAAAAGCAATTTTACGGAGACGCATACAATTCCTGGACGTGGCCAACACTAATATTCAGCTTCTGAATAGGTGCGCGCTGTTACGGTGTTCTTTTGAAAAAACCTCAGTTTTCCGGGGGAGCGATAAGTCCACACAACTTTTGTATACATTCACTCCCTCCAACTCCCTTCTTATTTTCTAATACCCGACTACTAGAGCACTGCCAGTGCCCACTTTAGAGAAGAAAAATCCAAACAGTAAAAGTAACATAAAAGCTTATCTTCCGACACTGTCATTTCCCTGAACGAAGCGAAACTGGCAGCCGAGGTTCGACATCACTGAGTGCAACCGCACATCCACAACAACGATATTCTCCCCTCCCTCGCCTCCTCCCCCCCCCCCCCC